ATTGTTCTCTGCATTCTGTCATACTTTTTCCGACACCCAATTATAGCTTAAATTTATCTTTTGGAATATTATAAATAATTTTGGTCTTTTTTTAAAAAAGCAATCACCCCTATGGAAAAAAAATTAAACTTTTGATAAAGTGCAGAGAAAAAGATTTGAAGGGTGTTTTACTTTCAAATATAGTTTTTAGTTATTTTCTCATACGAACGCCAATAACACGAAGGGACCTTTTTTATGATAGTTCCGTGAACGAGAATCCACATTGACGAGTGGGGAAGTTGGAGGCAGAGGGGTCGGCGACCGCAATGACGATCAGAGACCGTGGCAGAAAAGGGTAGATTTGCCTACGTTTGACAGGTTGGAGCCCTTTAGTTGGATCAATAGGACGAAGAGATTCTTTGATATCCAGAAGGTGACAGGCGAAGAAGAAAAGGTGGAGCTCGCGTATATTAGCATGGAGGGAAGTGTGACACCCGGGCACGGAGACGAGGGCGGGGAGTGACGCCGGTGCAAGAAGCATGGTGCAGGGGGCACAGACAAGGAGCGGCTCCTGGCAGCTTCGGGTGGAAGGGGTACATGGATGAATCGAACATACACCGGAATGAGAGGGATTTGGAGACTGTATAGGTATGGGACTATACGGTTGAAGGATAGCTTAAAGGAATTGATTTGACTACTCATATCACAAAATGCATTTACTTTTCGGTAGCCTGACTCATAAGAACTCCATGGTTAAGCGTGCTTAGCCTGGAGTAATTCTGGGATGGGTGACCTTCTGGGAAGTTTTCCCGGAAAGTGTGCGAGTGACGGAGGAGGATTTCGGGGGACGGTGTTTGAGAGGCAGGCGACATTACGCCAGGATGGCACGGTGGAGGAGTTCGTTCGCGATTTTGTGATTTTGATGGGGCAAACCAAGGGCGTACCGAAGAACAAGTCTTGGGCTATTTCCTCGTCGGATTGTGCGAGGACATCAAGGGACAGGTGAGGATTCAAGATCCCCAGGAGTTGATGGTGGCGGTGCGAATCGCACACGACGTGGAAGATGCAACGCTACGAGCGGAAGGGGGAACCTGGAGTGGGTTCAAGATTAACCCATCAGGGTCGCGATCGACGGGGGTAGTGGTGCGATCCGAACCTAATTCTGGGTAAGGAAGAATGGTGAGGAACCTCCCTTACCCAGAATTCCTTAAGAGGAAAGAAGAGGGTCGATGCTTCTGTTGTGGGTGGTCGTTCACACCTGGCCATCGTTGCACTGAGAGAAGCATGCGCGTGCTGCTTTTGGCGGAGGATGAGGAGGAAGACGTGAGTGAAGAGGTGGTAGACCGTGATAAGAAATTCATGGAGTTGTTAGCTTGCTCAGCAGAAGGGTTGACTCCACCCAAAACAATGAAACTGACGGGGTGGATTGGAGAAAGAAAAGTAGTGGTGCTCATTGATAGTGGCGCCAGCCACAACTTTGTCAGTCAAAAATTAGCAGAGGAATTGAAGTTACTCTTAACAGATACTCCGCCATATCCGGTGAGCCTGGGAGATGGGCAAAAGAAAATTACCAAAGGGTGTTGTGATAAGATGCGACTGAGTTTGGGGGAAGCTATGGTGGATGAGGACTTTTATATGTTCGACTTGGGTGAAGTAGATATTATCTTGGGCGTAGCTTGGTTAGCTAAGTTGGGAGAGGTGATGATAAATTGGAAAGAGATGACCATGGTGTATAACCTGGCAGGTAAAAGGTGAGAGTAAAAGGGGACCCTGCTTTGTCGAGACAGATAGAATCGAAAGCTCTCCTCAAGCTCGCAGATGCTGAAACGTGGACCCTGGTTTGGGATCTGGGACTAGTGGAGAATGAGGTGGACAATAAGTGGCACGGTGATTTGACTGATGTATAGGAGGTAGAGTTGAGTGCGGTTCTGCACAAGCACTGTGGCAGACCAATATCCTGAGTTCAGGACAAGGTTGTTGGGGGAGGGGAGGGTAATGTTAGGAGTTGGAAGGTTTACTGAGAGAAGGAATAAACCTGAGAATACCTAACTGTATTGGCAGTTAGGAGGAGTGGGTATTCGTTTGTATAAATAGCTAACTGAATAGCTGTGAATAGTTAGTTGATTGTTTTGTAGAAGCCTAACAGGAATTTATCATTCCTGAGGGGGAGGTTAAGCTCTCACAGTTCACATATTCTGTATTCTTTTACTAAAAATACAAGAATATATCATTCTTCCTTCTGGGTGTGTTATGTGCCTTTTAGACTGTTTGCGAAGGGTTCTTAGAAGGCAACTTAACAAATTGGTCCGACCCGCCGGATTAAAGTGGGGTGAAGGATCAAGAAGCTGCTGGATCATTAAGGGAGGACTCCTTTACATTACATTTTTTAGAAAATAAAAGTGATTCATCGAAAAAGCTCGAGTCAAATTCATAATTTATTTTTTAATATTTTTCTTACGACTAATTTAATTTTCTCATTATATTTTATTTTACTACTAGTTATTTTAATGTTTCTAATTATATTGCTCACCTTATTATTTAAAACACACTATCAATATTAATATATAATTTTTTAAACGCTTACATTTTTATTTTAAATTTGATTGAAAACATTTTAAAATATAATTTAAGAAAAATACTATAATACAAAATGTGAAAAATATATTAAACTGAAAAATAAGTAAAATAGTTGTTTATTTTTATTATTTTTAGTTTATCAACCGTAATAATACATAAATTTGTAAAATAGTTAAAATTTAATAAAATAATTTAAATATTTTTCGTTTCTAAGTTACGCTTTGCGTTATTGTTCAACTACTTTTGACCAATATAACTTTATATTCATTACATTAGCTTGTTTAGCTTGACATGAAAAAAAATATGATATATATTCTTTTTTCCAAACATTAAATAAAAATTTAAAAATATTTCTAATAATTTAGCAAAGGCAAAATATAAAATATATTTTCAGAGTCTAAAACTCAAGAAAATTTTTAAGAGATTAAATGAAAACGCTAAAATATTTTAAAGAGAAAAAACTTAAGCCATTTATCTTTTACATTCATACATTAAATAACCTCGCATTTATGTTAAACGAATTTTATTACCATACCTATCCATTTTTTTGAGTGAGTATTTTTTTTTTTTTACTTTTTTTCGAAGTTAATTTCCTCTTTTACTACCATAGAGTCCTACTGAATAAAATACATTTTTACACAATGATCCTGAAAGAAACAAATTTAAAAATTCAGTGGATTGATATAATAAAATATATTTCAAGAGCTTTTGAATTTCACTGTCCTGGATAATTTTAATTGAAAAGTTGAAAACATAAATTTGTTATAAAATTAAGAACACAATTTGCATTCCATGCTCATTTCTCACATCTACGAGTCCTTTATATGGTGATCGTGCAGTATTTTTTGAACACTGAAATGAACACACATAGGATATTTAAATAAAAGAAAAAAATCAGATAGATTAAATGTTAAGTAAGTAGTAATTATTGGAAAATACTAATTTTGTACATGTATATATAAAACACCAATTAGTATTACTTTACAGGATTTACTAATTTTTTAGCTTATGCTTTTTCAAAATATTTACTTTTAATCTCTAAATAAAATTTTGACTGGTCTTAATTCTTGAGCATCTTATTGTTTTAATTTCTGTCTCATGCCAAACTATATGCTATTATTTTTATTGACGTTTGTCACAGTTTACTTTTAGATGGTTAAAAAAAAAACTTGGCCAGACTAAAGTTGTGTCAAAATCGGAAAGAGTTAAGAAGAATTTTGCACAATTAATGGTTTACAAAAGAGTTAAGAAAATTTTATTGAGTTGTCATGTGAAAAAAATAACCATTTTTTTTTGTATGTTATAGAGATTTCGCATCAATTAACTATTTATGTTTCCAATTTATTAATATTATGAACAATTTGTATCCTTAATTAAGTTAGTGTCACATCATATTATACAATTTTGTGATACAATCAGACATATTTGTACCAGGATATATAGTAACTATAATAATAATAATAAGTATAAATGCATTTATTCTCCTTAATTATAGTAACTTAATTTCGTACTTTTATTTAATATTATTACTTTCTTTTATGCTTATTTTTTTTTTCCTTGTAGAAATATACTTTTTTTATTTTTAATTTTGAAATATATAATTAAATTATTTTGAATCTGGATTTGAATGTTAATAATTTAAATGTGAATAGTCAAAATTTAGAGTAAATTAACTTTCTTTTGTATTTATATATATATATATTTTGAGTAAATGCGATTTAGAACTCTCATTTTTAAAGAAGAGTTTTTTTATGTTGAAACTTTTATAGACATTTTGGTCTTAAGTACTAGGCTGAGTCCCTAATTGAGATGTCTAAATTCACAAACTATGTACAAACGCTGTAATAAAAAAGGGTTCATCACTTTCTTTTTAAGAACACTGTATCCAGTTTTTATTTTTTATTTTCTCTCCACCCTTCTATATTTAGTCATTGTGTGTTTTATAGGCTCTTCAACTTTTTACCTTCTTTTCTTTTTTAATGCAGTTACTAAAATTTGAATGACCTTTTCCTTCTTTCAGGCATTATATCCAACGTGACAGACAAGCTAAGGTTCGTAATGATGGCCAAAAAAGTAGGAGGAACTGTTATTTATTTATTTATTGTAATAATTGTATTTAACTTGTGTTTCTATATTAGGAATAGCCTAAAAAATGGGCACAATCAGGGTAGCTACTGGGATATATTTGCTCCTATTGTAATTGAAACCTTTTATACCATTTATTTAAAAATTGGTTAATTTAAGTTGAGAGCAGAGTAAACGATAAACGCGCAATTTCGGCTAAACTTGAGACGTGTAATTTTGGTTTTGTTCATCCGTGTCTTTTCTCTTTACAGCATGTGGCCTCAGAAATCACATAAAAGTCTAGTTCACACCACTCTATACTCAAAATACCATTGTTTTAATTTAACTAATACAACTTGTGTACCCTTAAATTGATTTCTGACTTTGAAAATATACAGCATATTTTATGTTCAGATTGCATTTTAAGACATGGTTAGGTCTTCCCCCACAAACTATAGTTCTAAACTAAAAACCATGTTCAAACACTGTCTAACAATACTTTGCCAAACAAGACAATCGTAAACGTTTGCACTCTCCATGCAGGGTTTGAGGGGAGCAAACTTTAATTCAAAAAGGCTAGTAGTGTTTCATCACAGTACAAAACTTAGAGGCAACCCTAAATTCTTTTCAGCCTTGACTCCACTTGTGCTCATATATAATAAACACGTTATGCAAAGAGTTTTTGGTCAGATGGGTGTCCCTACAGAAAATGAGGGTGAAAAATTCATAGATGTATTTTTATATGAAATTATATTTAAAAACTAATTCTTGAATTTTTCACCCTCAGTTTCATAAGAATACCAAACTGACTCTATGCATTATTCATCTCTCCCTCCAACACGCAAGTCATACATTGGTTGCAGCAACACAGAAGACAAGCTAATGATAAACCATGTTATCTGGTAAGCAACCTACTCAAATTTTTCAAAATGCAGCAGCTGTGTATCAATATCTGTAACTCTATATGATTAGTGAAACATCTCATCAATGTTTCACCTCTTGTGATGAGCATGATGTCAGGGGTTTGAGATGAAACAAAATAATAGACAGCACCATGGTGTTCTGCCAAGATTTGACCCAGCTTCTCACGAACATATACCCACAAGATGAGATACTTTAACCGGTTACCAAAGCGCATTGTGATTGTTTAGAACTATACAGCCTTTTAAGCTTGAAGAACCTGACAGTGAACTATGTGACTTTTGAGTCGGTTTCTCCCAGCAAGGCTAGACCACAGATTTGTTACCAATGTCTTGAACTGGCCTTTCCCAGCAATAGTTTCCCATAACTGTTCGGCGGAAGATCCTTTCAAATCTTCAAGTTTTGAAACATCAACCAGAGAAATGCTCATATTATTTCTTATGATACAGAGTTTCCCATTCAGGGGGACAAGAGCCGCAGCTTCCAAAGCCCGAGAGCTCCCCAAATGCATTTTACTGTCAATATGCTTGCTCCATGAATCAGTGACCTCATCATAAACCCTAACTTTGCAGCCATCCTTGCAGTCCAAGGCATAGAGCTTTCCATTTAGGGTAGTGCTAGGGTTCCTCCAGCCAGAAACCATTCCATCATAAATCGGGTACCAGCTATCATTCTCTGGCTGGTAGACCTCACTCAGAACCTGCTGGTGAGGACCAAGTCCCTTGAGGAACCACTTCCCATCGTAGACAACTCCTATGAAAGGCACCATTGCAGTGCTCATATCTGAAATAAACGACCATCTATTCTTGTTGGGATCATACACTTCAGCTGATCTCAAGGATCGGTGCACACCCTCATTCTCCCCACCAGCCACGTAGAGGCAATTGTTTATGACACAGGAACCAAAAAAATGCCGCCTTCGAAGCATATCCGGGGCACGGTGCCATTTATTTGTCCTAGCACTGTAAAATATGACGCGTCTCATGGATCCCTTTAGTGGGTCCTTTCCACCAAACAAGTACAGGTGACAGCCATTGAGAACAGCACAGCCAAAACCAAGAGCTCCTGAATATTCCCTTGGAACAGGTGGCAGGGGCTGCCACAGTTGGTACACAGGATCAAAGGCATGCCATGAGATTTTCCCGTCTCTGTCCCTCTTAATAACATATATCCACTCTTCTGCAATTCCAAGACTCTTGCGGAGAGAATAAAAGAAGTTACCAACCAAAAGACGATACCATCTTTTGCAGACTTGCCGAAGTTTGCGATGCTCAACACGGGGGACACGAATTAGGCAAGCAATAGCTAGATCATCAGGGAGTCCTGGAAGTAGCGGGGATTGATTGCGGCTTCTGTCACCACGTGCTGGCTTGTTTCTAGTTGGGTGAATAGATGGTTTAATATCAGGCCGAAGACAGAGCTTTGTTCCAGGGACATACCTTTTTGCTCCAGCAACAGTTTTCAGGCCCGTATCTACTCTGCATAGACATGCAGTTGTATCGACCTGCATAAACACATTTGAAACAGAAAAGTTCTTTATCTACACTTAAAATGGAAGTATATTTTCCTTTTTTGCTGTAGTACGATAAATTATGAACTCATACATGAGAAATTGATGTCTCTCAGCCTATAATACAGATAATATTCCAGATGCAGCAGAGATAGCACCTCGTTTACTAATTTGTAATAGCTTAAACATTAATCGTGAGAGCTATCTTTCAGGCTCAAATAAATTCATATGTTAACATAAGCCAATCACCAGTTTATAAATCATGAGAAATAATTTACAATAAGCTTTATTGTATTTTGATGAATATTGAACTGAAAGAGTTGACACAATTTGACAAGGCATTTGAAGGTCTTATGTAATCAAACCTTCATAGAGTCCAGGGTAATTTCAAATCTTAAGCCTCAGAAATATTTGACCCGTGTTAGAAAGCAATTTAATCCATTAGTTTTGCATCCAACAATCCCCACATTTCTGAATGTAGAGTACGCTTAACTATTTAGGAAAAAACACAAGTGGTGTCACATTACTGAAAATTTAGCAGTGAGATTATACAAAATATTATCCCCATTTAAATACATTACTGAAAATTTAGCAGTGAGATTATACAAAATATTATCCCCATCTAAATACCCGGATTACAGCGTTTAAATATAAGAGTTTCTCATCTATCATGGCCCAAAAGCTTGCAGCAACATTTCATGGATTAAAAGAAAATTACACACAGAAATTTCGCAGAGGTTATAATGCAACATATAGAAGATCGAAGGGTAAAGAAATAAATGCTTTGTAAGCATTGGCATGCAACAGAACAAGACCAGAGCTCCTTCAAACCACCCGAATCCTCAAGCAACGATTCCAAAAGTCTTCCTTTCATCCCACAACACTCCAGAAAGTGGTATTTCTTGAAGCTTCCATTTTCGGACAAACACTTCTAGAGCTCTTTTGAAACAACATATTAGGTCAAGGCAAACATCAGCAATTAGATCAGTAACATGGACACAGAAAGACCAAACCCAGACGGTTTAAATAGCAAGAGTTACGATACTTTCCAAAGAAATGACCAGACAAAAAAGGGGAACTCAAACCAACCTAGCATTGGTTTACCTCATAACCTAAACATGAAAATGACATATAAACTAGGAAAAAGAGAGAGGGATAAGAAGAAGCGTGTAGATCAATTACCAAAGGAGGCTGAATAACTCTGTCCATCTTACTGGGCTTCAAATTCACCTCTTCCGACAAAAATAACTCCACAACCAACACCACTGAAAATCGAGTCTTTGTCCCTCAAACTCCATACCGTACACGAAATTCGAGAGAATCCAGTCCCATAATCCCCTTCTACTTCCCTCCCAGTTCAATTTAACTTGCAAGAAAATTGAAACTTCAGAGCGAAATTTGAAGCACGTTCTCTCACAACAACGAGTCAAGTGTGGCGGAACCAAATCAATCACAAAAGATGATCAAGGAGAGCCATGTGGAATACGAGAAGCTCCACATCGAAAATTGCCAAGAATCTAGTCAAATCAAATGCCCTAAATCTTATCTGGTGAGTTTAAAGAGGGGAAAACCTAAATGCGAGACAGCGCGAAATTGGGGGCAAAGGGGAAGCACTGAAAGAGGAAAAGAGACCCCTTTGGTTCTTACCATCAAACTTCAGTGGAGTTTAGGGCCCATCTCCTCAACGGCACAACCTACCAAGCATAAGAGTGTGTTCAGCAAGAGAACTAGAAGAAGGGATGGTAAGACTTTGAGAAAGAGAAAGAGTAAAATGAAATTGATTTTTTTTGAAAAAAGGAAGCAAAGCAAACCATTAAAGCAGGAGAGAAGAAATGATGACACCTTGGTGGTTGCCCATTGGAGAATTGGAGAAAAGAGGAACATTTGACAACTTGGGTTGGAAGATAGCTATTGTTTTGTTTGTTTGTTTCTTTGGAGACTAGGAGGGTTTTGGTTTGTAAATGGGAAAGTCAAATCTCCAAATCAAATACAATACAATACAAATACCACAACCACTCCTTGTTACTGTGGAGTTGAAGATTGAACTATGCAAACACTACAAAGGCAGACAAAGATTCAGAACAAAATAACATGGGTCCACCTCTGCAGAAAAAATGAAAAAAGAATAATACTCCACCAACTATATATTTAATAATGTAATGTAAGATATGTTGCAGGGTGCATGTTTTGTTTGTTTGACCCACCGCACTGCATCTGCATCATCACACACACATCGTGTAACTATTCCCACTCCACCAAGGGTAATTTGGTAGTTCTGCTGGCTGGGAAGGTGGTGGGTGTCCTATCATCCTTTGCATATGATTAGAAACGGGCCCTGCCAGAGGGTTTACTGCTTAGTTACCAACTACTTACTTCCATTTCTCCTTTTTTTTTCCTCCTTCCTGCACTCAAAATTATTCTTATTCTGATTGGATTATCATAACTAGCCTACCTATATATGCTTTTCCAGTTTTACTTATCTTTTTCTAGATGTATAATTACTACAACTCCTTTTTAGTTAGTTTCAGTACCAGTAATAATTGTGTTTAATTCATCTTTACATTGTGCAAAAGAATAAGTTAATCATAAAAAATACAAGATATTATGCTCCAATCGCCTAGTAATGTTTGTTTTAAGGAGAATCAAAACACCTAAGCTGAGAGGATAAAAATCTAACAAAGCATGTATGGTGTTCAAGTAGTGTTAAATTGTTTTATATCTTACAATCGAGGATTACATTTTTCAACTAAAAACAATGAACTTTTTTTAAGAGATGCTTATGAATGGAATTGAATCATTCATACTTTTATGTTAATGAGCATGGTTCGTGATCATGCATGTTGTGTTTCACTCATTAGAAATTTGGCAGAGGCTATCGGTGGGGTCTCTTTTTATTTAATTTTTATCATCACCAATAAATAATGCCATTGTAGATGAGTTACGCGCTATGTGTTGATTATCTTATCAGTCTCTCGCTTATTGAATAAACGTGAAGAAAAAGGTGCATGCACTTTAAAAAATCTTCAGAAGTCCTATTTGCCCTTGGTTGTTGAAGTAGTTTACCTTTAGCTTGCAAGCTTTTCCAAAAATCTGCTAGAGCTCTAAGTATGGTCTAAGAAATGGCATATGAGTGCAGTACAGTATCTTATTTGCAAAGATACGTTTCTGGAGTGATGAGCCATGCTTTTCCATATCAGTGGGATTTCATTCCTCATATAAGTCCTTACCATGAAACACCTTTCCAGCTGGACACTCCTATCACATGTTAGAGCTCTTTTAGGCTTTAGCAACTTAGGAGTATAATCTTTCAACCTCCATGACCATTAAGCAGACAATGTCCTTTTTATATTCCCATTTGAAGCAATAATTCCAATTACATGACGTAACTAAAATGGCCCCACTCAACTCTATTTCTTTCTGCCAAAAACTTTCCACACTCCTCAAAAGTTTAAGACAGATCGGCTAATGGAATATGGTATTGATTAAACCCCACTTTCGGTAACAATTTCTTCATCATGATGTTGTGTGAGGCACAATACTTGAGAGTAGTTAATTAAAATCGCAATTGATCTGTACCCGAACTCCATGGTTCTACAAAATGAATGATGTGAGCAAATATATCATCTAGAAGATATTACTTAGCTCGGTTAATTGAAAAATTATGACCTTTTTTGCATTCAACAATGGCGGGTCCAATCAAGGAAACGTAACCACTATCAGAAACATTACATATACACTGGAATTGTCCGTTTCATTTGAACATACTAGTGGTGTTAGAAATCAAACAAGATGGCCAACGCAAGGCCATGTGCATCCTTCAAAAAGCTGCATAATTCAACCCTATCGTTGTCAAGAACGTTACTATCTATATTTCCCTTCTCAAATATACAAAGATTTGCCACAAAACAAAGCAGGGTGCAGAGTTGGTAGTCACCATCATTTTTAGCTAATGCTCTCATCCCATTTCGCAAAAAGCAGAGTTCTTTTTCGGTGCCTCCCTATCGTAAACAGTTTCAATTTTTTTTATGTAACTTTGACAATTCAGTGTATACCAATAATGGTATTCACAAAAATGTGTTGAGCACTAAGGATGAGAAGGATCAATGGAGCCACTTTTCCTTTTTGGAGAAGGAGATATTGATGTGGAGAGATGTCATTCTCAACCTTGGGGACAAGACATGTTGAGGTCCTTGTGTTGTGGGAGGCGCACAGTTCATGCTTATTTCTTTGTGGCTCAACCTCAACCATTAAATTCCAAGGTATATACATTAATTTTGGTTATTTATTTTAGACTAGATTCAAATAAAAAGCAATTTTAATCAATTTTAATATTTTTGTACTACGGTTATTTTACAATCAACAAACAAAAAGTATAATATCTATTGTTTTTGAGATATTTGTTTTACAACAATACATAATATACCCATTTGTGAGATGATGATGTCATAAAGAATTTCACCAATACATATTTAATTTTGACAATTCTATTTGTTTATTTTAATAATATTGAGAGATAAGTCTAGATCAATTCTATAAAATCAAATTGTAAAATAAGATTTGTATTTTATCAATATATTATAAACTTGTTATACATATTTATTTCAAATTCAAAACTAGACACTAATTAATAGTCTAATAATATATGTTTCATTAATCTAGTATCAATGTTTGACATGATGCATATATAAGGGTGAGAAAATGTATTGAAGATCCACGTCAACTAAAACTTAAACAAGTTTATAATATATAAAAGTTTATAATAATATATAAATGAGTGTAACATAATCTTATAAATTGTGGGTTAAGTTAACGTTACAATCTTAACTTGTCTGGTAAATTTTTATAGAAATATTTTTCTAAAATTTTCATTGATTAATTAATATTTCTAATTAAATAAATGAAACAATTATTATACTTAAATGTTGAATTATTTTAGTATAATTAATAATTAAAATTTAATTTATATATTAATAATTTAAATTATAATATTATTATATACTTACATCTTTAAATTATAATTTTTGATGTTATAATAAAAATGGATTAATGAGTTAACCTGTTTTACCCTGCTAATTTGACATATATCGAAACTGATTAAAACCCACTTTAACACTCTTCCTGTGTATATTCATGAGAACACTTTGACTTTGAAATAAATTAAAAAAATCTAAGAAGACATTCCTCTCCTCCCATCAAATGAACATTTTCCCACCCAATTATTATTATTTTATGAATTTTACCAACTAAACTTTTTCTCACACATTTTAACTATCTTTTTAGATGTATAAAGAAAGTGCTAATTTATTTCTATAAAATGACATCATTTTATTTATTATATCGAAAACCATCGTCGCTTTCCCACTAATATAGTGGTCAAACTTACAGCAATTGAAAATTAAAGTAGTAAAATGTGCAGAAAAAAAAGGTGATAAAATGTGCCAAAATTAAAAACTTAATGATAAAATATGAGAAAAAAATATATAAAACACACCATTAAGTGTAAAAAATATGGAAGATTATATCTCGGTTTCCTGTTGAGGGGAAATTCTTTTGGGTCAGCTAGTTTATTCAGGTTTAGTACACCACCATTAATTCACTGTTTGTTTATTTATTTAGTTGCTAGGAATCCCAGTGACTTCAGCATGCAGCCAAAAAATACTGGCACTGCCGAAACCAATTTAATGCATAATCAATCCAAAGAGGTCTGAAATCGTACAAAAACGTGGGAGAACACATTCATGTTTGCTCATTTATTCTTGAATAATTGAAAGTCAAACTACATATAATTTCAAAAAATTTCTGAAAAACAAGTAAAAAGAAAAGAAAATGAATCAGTCAAATAAAAAAACTTCTATTTGAAAAGGGAAAATGTGGAAGAATAGAAAAATCTTAGTACCCACGTGTAACAGTGTGTACACAGTTTGATTTGTTTCAATTTTACAAGGAAAAAGAAACTGAACTAATTTTAATAATTTTGTTTATTTTGTTTATTTTGTTTATTTTGTTTTATCAATAATACATATATGTCAGAAAGTATGCATAATCTAAGAAAAAAAATCTCCTAAATTCATAACTTCAATTGAACTTCATTAGTCACACCAACAACTATATAAAGCAACGCCTTTTAAGAAAGAGTAAAGTAACCTAAGTACAAAAAACATTTTTTTTAAGAAAATGGCCAATGATTTTCAATTTTACTTCTATGGGGGGACAGAGGCAGGATATTCCCAACTTAAAGTGACATCATAAAGCATGTGCATAGATCACTCAAATATGGTAATTTTTCATTACCAAAATATTAAAGCTACTTTCAATGAACTGGTAAGACGATAATGTTACCAATGAGAAAAGTTTTAAGAGAATCAAGCTTTCATGGGCAACATGGGAAACTTTTAAAAACTTTTGAGGGCTTATATGAACCCTTCTTGTACTGCCACCGAGAAAACGTGTAAAATAAAAATGCTGCTATGATATCATAAACCGAAGGTAACCAACTGATAGAACTGAACATTTTACCAACAAGTCCTATATCTGTACCTGCAGTAACTAAGACCAGCCGCATTACCATCACTCTAACCCAATGAAACAGTATGGATGAAAAGAATATTAGCTCACTGTTAGCGCCGGTTTAGGAAAGCATAACATTTAATACATCATGCTCGTCGGAGACAAAACTTCAAACCACATAGCAACCAATCACTCATTGACATGTGTTAGAAACTCTTATCATCTAAGTCAGTACTATTCCTCGCTTCAATCATGAGGCTTAATCTGTACGGAGTTCGTCATAGTATTCAGGCCGCAGTGTCCCAATAATGAGGTAAGGGATTACTACCATGCATGCCATAAATAGTGTAAACTGCAGAGCATATGGCAACGAGGTGATTAGCACAATTTTACCCTTTTGGCGGTATATAATAAAACAAGAATATAAATAGCACTAAAAACATAAAAACAATGTAAAACGAAACTACTGATATACCAGAAGAGGAAGTGTCAAAAAACTCCATATTGGCCACAAAGCAAAGGAGAACCTATAGAAGCAAGGGATAGAGTCAAGAAAATAAGAAAACGCCTTAACACAAAATACAATTGAGGTATAACATGGAAGATCTGGCAGTGCCTTACAAGCAAAAGGAGATTATTCCAAATACCGTGACGAATGGCAACACAGATAAGGTTGTTATTTCCCATTTTTTAAATCCCCATTTTTCATCAAATCTTCGAGCACTCCAGGCCAAGAACGTTGTATAAATGAAAATTATTGTATTCAAACCAATACCTATCATCCCAAGATACAAAGGCAGTCTGCAATAAAATGAAGATTGTGAAAATTATGCTAATGATACAAAGTAGTGGTAGAATCTAATCTATCAGAATCACAACAATTAAATATTCCGATCCCTTTCGGTATTTCAAATTTATACATCTGCAAACATATACAACCACGCTCATGTTATACATCATCAAAATAGGTTTTATTTCCTATAACTCGAGAGGGGTTAGATCCAATGAAATAATATAATAAAGGTCATTTCATGTCCAAATATCCGTTAGGATGTTGTTTAGCTTAATATATCCATGGCAGATATATGCATGTCTACGGCTGGGAGTCGATAAGATTTAAAGAGTCATGTCATATTACAGGATGATGTCATGGGTTACAAAGTAAGGACCATTTTTATGTTCAGGATTGATGATTTAATCTTTGCTTCAAATTAATTAGGACAACAATCAATGAGTTGTTTGAAATCCAAAGTTGAAGAAATAACAATGTAATCAAGATATGGATATCCTAATTGAAAAGGAATCACATACTAGAGTTTCTCCAAGTAAAAATGCACATAAATATCATCCCCTCTCCACCATTCAAGAAATAGAAGAAAAGGATAACCTGTTTTTTATTTTATAAATGAAGGGCATATGCTAGTAAAATAGATTTTGCTTTCCCTATCATTCCCACAGTCTACACCTTCTAAACTGTACGATTTCACAATTATCCCAATGACACATTTTGGCCTAAGCATTGCCACTTTAATTAAGTAACAAACCACACTTGAAGATACAGAGTATTGACCTATATCTTCCGTTCCTAGGTCCTCATCAATTGTTCATGGCTCATAATGTTGTCAACTTGACAATGATAGTAGGCAATATCAAGAAGCACTTTAACTAATGACAGGTAGGGAAAAGTTTACGAGTTAGGCAGAAATCCATATAATTCATATATTCAACATGTTCCTGAACTAAGTCAAGGAATTGCAGCTATTTGTTGCTATCATGGTTGGTACAATAATCTTCCATGAATAATGCATACATTAGCCGCTTAGAAACAATGAACTCTGCGATTGTCGAAATACCAGTGGAAGTTTATGACTATAATTCAAACCAATATGCATAAAAGACTGCAATTTGAATGTTGTTACCTTCTAATTCGACTGTCATGGCACAAAAGATGTATCATATTGGATTTTTGATCGCCAAAGTACAGAATAAAAGCCGCCGAAGCAAGCCAAAGAAAATTTTCCAGCATCTCAATCCACGTCTTTGGTGAAGGACTAGGGGCCAAAAAGTGACGGTGCCTCGAACATGCATCATCCTCTAGGTCATCACCACTGCTTGAATACCCCTGGCTATGCCTCTGCCTCATAAATCCACCACCCCCTCGCGGTGTTCCACCAGACATTGCAAATAAATTGCACAAACACCACCTCCCAACTAGTACCAACACAAACCACCACAACCTACCTAGATCCTCACCCTCCTATTCGCAAGACCAACCATCCAATTATGCAATATAAAATATAATTTACCACAAAATCAATAAACAAAACACCTCTGATCTAATTTAATCACTCCATGAACCAATGATACACTTCCCAAATCCCAATTACGCGCCACGAAGCAATCCCTTCTTGACGAATATCATGACCTACAAATTCACAAAATACAACAGCAACCACAGCAACCGGGGCATAGAAATCATCGTTGCATACAAAAATCTCAACCTAGGAATGATCACACCGATGGAAGGAAAGGGCGTCTGACAATGACCCTCGCCAACCTCGAAAACCCGACTCAGTAACGAAATCTCACCCACCAACAATAATAAAGAAAAAGGGAAAAAAGCGAATTGGGAATTTAACAATCTAGCAGAGCCGAAGAGGAGTAACTGAAAATTGGCGGAAACCCAGTTGACGCAGGAGGGCAATAACACTGAATCTTGAAGAAAGACACGATCTTGATTTGATTAGAGCTACCCAAAAACAGAAACTGCGATTGGGTTGCAGGGATGAGTGGAAAGAAGGAGGGTTTGGCAGTCGTTTCGTGTGGGCGCAGGCACATGCGTGAGTGTTTTTTCTCTTGATAGAGTAGCAAATAGGAAAGACAAAGAAGACAAAGGAATAAGAGTTACGGTACTGTTTCAAGTTCCTCCATAAAAATAATAAGGATTTGTTGATGTAAGTAAGGGAGATTCCTTTCGTGTCTCTATTTATTCAGGAACCCTTCGAATCTTCCTCCAACTCTTTTTTATTTCAAAATCATTTCATTCTCAATTTCAATTAAACAAAACAAAAACACGTGGAAGCTTCATTCCAACTCCATTTCTCTTTTCTGAAAAAATAGGATTCGTTACTCCATCTATCTCATTAATATGGTATGAGCAGATTCTCAGCAAATTTGGATTTAACAATTTGATATATTTTATCTTATTAATGAACTCTCACGTTATCTTATTTTCCAGAAATATCTTCAAAATGCACTTCTATTTTACAACATTGATAGATTTAATTAAAGAACAACGCCTAGGAAAACTTTTTTTACAGGGTTTTTTTTTGGATGAAAATGGGAATATATTTTCAAAAAGAAATCTTTCAATAAATAAAATCTTCCTTCCAAAAATTGAAAAAACAAAGTTAATACTTTCTCTATTTTCGAGTACGAGAAGACGATTCTTAACATCAGAAACATTTAATTACAAATTATTAGAAGACTTTCTATTAGAAGAGGTAGCACAAAATATTGTGATAGTGGCTTAAAACTGTCAAATAAGAACCAGGAAATTTACGATAATCTAAGAGGTATTATTTTTCTTATAAAGTATTTGGTTTAAATGGAGAAAGAAGGGAGAGAGAATATTCTTACCTGTACGACAAATAATTTGTTTAAAACTTAAGTGTGACATGGCGCCGTTAAAATAGAACAATGCGTAACCTTTTCTCATCAATTCATATGGAAGCGCAGAGATCTTTCAACACTTCAGTTTTATGTCTAAATAGTTTTAATTCCCAAAATATAAAATTATTTTTATCAATACACTTAGATTTTGTTACTAATATATTAAACCATACTTAAGACAAATGATAATATCTGAATTTGACAATGTGAAAAGTAAAAACGGTAATGCTAATCTTGAAACTTGGTTACCATAAAAATAGCAACATTAGATTCTAAGGTCTGTGAAAGTAACTTGTGATTATCATTCGTCAAGCCTCTGCATATGTCTAGATTGTTAACAAGTGTCTTCTTCTCACTGTATGGAAAGTTTTGAACACCACTGACATAGGCCACAGTTTCCAATTTTTGTAATAATCAGTTAAAAGCTCAAGAAATTTGAAATATGTTTTCGCTCTTTTATCTTGCTTTAAAAACAAATTATAACATAAGTTTTAACTAAACTGACATATTATTATAAATAATAAGTATATTTAACAATATACGAATTTGAAACATAATAATAATCGGACTATTTTTTCAGAAAATAAACTCAGACGGGAGCAGAGGTGATTAAGAAAGGAAAGTTTTTATTTTATTATTTTTAAATTTTCCAATCTGTACTTATAATAACATTTTTTATCAAGCACAAGCGTTGCCCGTATAAATATCCCAGTTTTTTTGGGACTATTTATTCATAAAATTGTCGACATTTAATAGGTTAACATCATGGACCTTTTGGGAGACGAGGCATGTAACGGTTCATCACTGACATCCACGCATGTGTTCATTATTATTATTTTTTAAAATTTAGTTTTCATTCTTTTAATAAACTTGATTTCATTTATTACTTTAAATATTTAATAGTTTCTTTGTCCACCTTTACGTTTTCTTAACATAATCATATAATATCATTTACTAACCAGTTTAATTTTAACTCTCAAAACTAATCAGATGCGGACAAAAGCTGCTGCTGGGTTTTTAAACTTAATGTCATATTAGATAACACGTTCTACTTATCAAAACATTAGGAGTTTGAGTTTTAAGTACTGTACAAAAACTATAGAAACTTTAAGCTGGTCCAACTCAACCTATAACGAGTATACACTTTTTAAACATTTATCTATTAATGAATTAATAATTGTCATTTTAAAAATAAGAATGCAATTATTAGTTTTAAAATATACAATGAATAAGTATGTGGTACTGGGGTATTGAAAGTAAGTTTAACCCCAACAAAGAGAATTAAACTTTGGACCACAATCTATCTCTCATATGCACCCATAATGTAACTTTAATATAATATATATATATAATACTATATATATATATATAATTTGATTTTACTCACTATTGATTAAATCATGACGTTTAGACTTTAAACACTATTAAACATTTAACTGTTGTTTTAATCAACTTCAATGTTAAAACTTTTTACTCAAACTGTTTTATTTTATGATTACGTGTGCAAGGCGAACACTGGAATAAGAGGCATCTTCAATTTTACTACAATATTTAGAAGGTTCTTAATAGTACTTTGATTTGACGAGTCTCATCAATATCAATTAAAACATTCGTAAATAAAAACTATTCCCTTGTACAGAGTCTAAAAAATTCAACCAAATTTACTATACACAAGAAAATCGCCTGAAATACCATAAGAAAGAAACAGAAAAAACTTAACAAAATAGTTGATTAGTCCTTCACGAACTCACGAAATCATCCAATACTTGAATGCAAATTAACTCTTCTTAATATAACTGGATTCATTCAAACCTAATGATATTTATTACTAGCACTTTTAAATATAATCGGAAAAAATCGTGGTAAGATTTCTAAACTTAGCTAGGTCATGAGATAGAATATAAAACATATACTTCGATTATCATTTGAAAATTCAACCATATCATTACCTTAATTAGTAAATTATACATCTTTTATGTTGAAAAGTAAAAAAAATGCGTTGCACTTAAAGGACAGAGATTTTTACCTGAGATCTAATTATGTATATTAAAACTTTAATTTCTATGTACAACTAATATTATTTCAATGCCGATATTAATTAAAAATTAATATAATTATATTTTGTAACAAACACAGTGTCCATAAACGAAAGATCACCTAGATTTGTATTTTAATAAATAAATAAATAAAATTGTGGGCTTATTTGCTAAAAAAAAGAAATAATTAGTTCACGTCCTTTGACTTTTTTTTTAATGAAATTTCTTGCGTCAATCACTCATTTTTTTTTCGCATTCTTCTCAGTTCTATATTTTCTTGCGTGGAAAAAAGTTGAGTTATATTTTTAATTCCTGAAATTTGAATAATTTTGATTTTGGCGTCTTGAATTTTAGTCTTTCAAAATTAAAAACGATTTTAATCTCTAAATTAAAGTAAGTTTTTTATGATTTAAGGTTTACATTACACGTTTAAGGTTTAAAGTTGACTATAATCCTTCGAAATTAATGTTTAGGAACTAAATAAATATTTCTAAGACTAAAAGAAATAAAATTAGCCCCGAAATTTGAAGACCAAACATAGTGGAACCTAAAAAACATCTCGACCAAATCCTTACAATGTATAATTTGATAGATTTGAATCGTGGTATTTTTTATTTTTGAGTATATAATAATAATATGATTAAGATTTAATTTAATTTTAGTCAAAGTATTTTATTTTTTTAACCCTGAATTAAAAATAATAATTCTGAAATAATAGAAAGAACTTTCACTTGTTAAGAATCGGATAGAAAATAAAAAATGGTTGTTGGAAGGTTCATGTTGACAGTTATCTGCGTTTGAATTGCAAGTTTCTCAATACTTATCCGCAGTTTGAGCAATGACATGTTTTTGTCCGTTACAAAAAGTAATAGACTAGGTCACTACGACACACACAAACTAACGTGTCGGTGAAACAAGATAAGTGTTACATGCTGTCTGGTCCTGATTCATCACAAGAAATCTACGTGTAACCAAATCGTTGTCTGAATCCAATCCCAACTTCAAACACGAAACTTCTAAAACATGCAGGAAAAAATATTTGCATATCCCTAACAACCCACTATAAATAGAAGCACGCATAACATAGGCCAACCTCGTTTTTCTCTATCTTATCAACAACATTCTTCGATACGCTTGAAACTAATTTCTGCACCGCCATATACCTCTCAGAAGAACCACTTTCTCATCTTCTTTCTTCTTAACTGTTGTGCTGATTGATAGAACCCAAAAGGGACAGAAGGAATGTCGAACCCTCTGCAACTCAAGTCATTGAATCATATCTCACTTGTGTGTGCATCACTGGAGAAGTCCGTTGACTTTTACGTAAACGTTCTCGGGTTTTCTCCTGTTAAAAGACCTACTTCGTTAGACTTCAATGGTGCATGGTAAGCTTAATCATTTGTATTACTATGAGCATATATCATTGCAAAAATGTGACAGAAACTTTGGTTAATTCAATATGCTCTTAAGCCAAAGCATATGAAACAGAAATTTGCATAGAAATTGAATATACTGATTAATTGCCTTTTTGTTTGATATTGATCCTGGTAGGTTATTCAATTATGGCATTGGGATACACCTTCTCCAATCAGAAGAGCCACGAGGCATGCCCAAAACTACTCCCATTAATCCTAAGGACAACCACATTTCTTTCCAAGTATTTTTCTCTCTCTTCCTGTGCCATTTCAACTTTGATGCATAGTCTTTAATACATATAATATACTTAACGAAGGAATTATGCATTGTTGCAGTGTGAAAGTACAGCAGCTGTGGAGAAAAGACTGCAGCAAATGGAGATAGAGTACGTGAAGAGCAGAGTAGAGGAAAGCGGAATCTACGTTGATCAGCTATTCTTCCATGACCCAGATGGCATGATGATCGAAATCTGCAACTGTGATAACATTCCTATGGTGCCTTTATCAGAGGACAAACTATGGTCATGCTCTCGCTTCAATTGCAATATTCCAAACCGACAGCGCCAGATTCAGCAAATGATCCCTATGTAGTACTAAGTTTCAAACACTTGCAATGTCATGTCTGCCTGTACAAAATTATCGCTTGTAAATTATGTTGTATGTTAGTAATTGTAATAAAATTTTCTTCATGATAGTAAAAATCTTTCTTCAACGTTTTTGTCGTTTACCGAGCTGTTATAGTACCTGCAACACCATCACCTATCTTCAGTGGTCTGGACTGCGCGTGAACTGATAACCCATTTACTCCTAGCAGTCTAAGATCACAGTTTCTGATAGGTTGTGAACTCCT